GTTAGCCTCCGCAATTATTATTATTTCTTTGCAGTCATTAATGAGCGATTTGGAGAAGCGCGAGATACAGTTCTCGGCGGTGCAAGATCGCGGCGAGGCGCTGGTCCTTCAGCATCATCCTGCGGCCAAGACCATCGAAGCCTACATGTCCGCGATGCAGAGCCAGTGGGCTTGGCTGCTCCAGCTTACTCTCTGCCTCGAGGTGCATCTGAAACATGCCGCGCAGAACCAACAATTCTTCAAAGACATTCAACAAGCCGAGCAGTGGATCTCCAAACGGGACGAGACACTGAACACCGTCTACTCGCAGTCTGACTTTTCGTTGGACGAGGGAGAGCGTCTCTTGAAGGGCATGCAGGAATTGCGCGAGGAGCTTAATAATTACGGTGATCACGTACAGAGATTAGCGGAGAGAGCGAAGGACGTTGTTCCCATGAAGCAACGTAAACAGCCGGTTATGCGACCGTTACAAGTGACCTGCATCTGCAGTTACAAGCAAGTCAATGTGAGTAGTAGTAATACCATTTCGAGAATGTGTCTGTTCTTGATCTTCATTTATCTTCATGTATTTTATCTTATTTCATTATTTATATATTACTTATTTATTAATTTATTATTTTTATTATTACTTATTTATTAATATTTCATTCATCGTTTATTCAAAATTCTCCTGCTTTGCATACATCGTTCATACTTCGTTTTCATACCCGTACTCTTCTGTTTACTTTTATTTTTCCTTTGTAATCTTCGGCCCTAAACATTTTTAACAGACACTTGGTATGATATAGAACAGAAATATATATGCAAGTATATATCCACCATGTACCTACATGTATTACTTTTCACTTACTTATCATCTTTCCAGATGTCCATCGAGAAAGGGGAACAGTGCACGGTGTACGATAATTCCGGCAGGGTCAAGTGGCGCGTAAAGAATACACAAGGTACGGAGACCCCCGTGCCAGGTGTTTGCTTCGCCCTGCAGCCGCCCGATAAGGAAGCGCTTGACGCTGCTGAGAGACTGCGACGACAGTATGACAGAAGCGTCGCTCTATGGCAACGGAAGCAGCTGCGACTCCGACAGAATATGATATTCGCTACCATCAAAGTGGTTAAAGGTTGGGACTTGCCACAGTTTTTGGCCATGGGACAGGATCAACGTACGGCTATTCGAAAGGCGTTGAACGAGGACGCGGATAAGCTGCTGTCCGAGGGAGACCCGGCGGATCCGCAGCTGAGAAGACTGAAGCGAGAAATGGCGGACGTGAACCGGCTGTTCGACGACTTTGAAAAGCGTGCCAGAGCGGAAGAAGAATCGAAGAACGCCGGGCGTATTTTCAACGAGCAGGCTTCCACGTTGCAACAGGTTCTCGACGAGGCCGAGAGAGTGCTGAACGCACGCATAGCTGCGCCTTTACCGCGCGACCTTGACAGTCTGGAGCATTTGGTGCTGCAGCACAAAGACTACGAGCAAAATCTGCAGGGCCTGGCACCGGAAATGGAGCAGATGCAGCAAACGTTCCGTGGTATTACCTTGAAGACGCCGGCGATGAGGAACAAACTCGACAACATAACGTCCAAGTGGAACCACCTGTGGAACTTGAGCAGCTTGTACATCGAGCGGCTCAAGTGCGTCGAGATAGTGTTGTCTGGCCTCGAGGAGAACACAGCAGCCATATCCGAATTCGAGATCAAGTTGGCCTCCTTCGGTGAGCTGCCGTCTGACGTGAAAGGCCTGCAGGTGGTGTTGGAGGACCTGATGGTGCTGCAGAACGCTATCGCCCAGCAGCAGGTGTCGGTGGACCAGCTGAACGACGACGCGCACAACGCCAGGCGTCTCGTCGAGAAATCGCGACCGAATCACCGCGGTCCGCATGGCGACATGGACCGATTGGATGCCGAGGTTAATAAATTGAACGCCCGGTGGACGAACGTTTGCGGACAACTGGTGGACAGACTGCGCAGCGCCGAGACGGCCTACGGATTGGCGCAGCAGTACAGCACTTCGTATCAGAACGAGGTGGACTTTGTCGACGAATCCTACGGGAAATTGGAGCTGGAGAACACCAAGGTGAACACGCGGTTCGAGCGATTCTTCAGACACTTTAGTCGTCTGTGCACCACCGAGTTAACAAAGTGTCGTGAGGATTTCTCATGATGATGATGATGATGATGATGATGATGATGATGATGATGATGATGATGATGATGATGACGATGACGTGATGATTTCTCTCTTTCTCTCGTGATGTTTGCAGAACTTGCTGAGCAAGGTGCTGGATCGTGCGCCGGCGATCGAGGCAGTGAACATCACGGGCGGCAGATTGATCCGCGAGGGGAAGGTAAGAGCGAAAGCGGATATAGTCTTTATTATAGTCTTTATTTTCGCCAGTGAGCCAGTGAGCCTCATAGGTAGCCTTTATAGCTTACGGTGTGAATGCTTGCATGAATGGAGTTTTGCGTGTGTCTGTACATACAACATACAAACGTACATACAGGTCGTCACATTTATTATGTACCGTACGCAAGCGCACTAGCGCACTAGTTCGGCACTGTGCGCCGAATTTTTCATCGTTTAGCGTTCGTTTAGCGGAGATCGTCGAGCTTTTCTCAGCTGTTAGCGGGCGAAGGTGGTCGAGCAGCGAGGCAGTTGCGCGAGCGAGAGACGCGTCTCGTACTGCGGATGGTACGTGCACCATGGACCATGATTGGTTTCTTCACAGTCTCCGAGCAACTCGGCCGCCATTTGGTTCCAACGTCTTCTCTCGGCGGCTCGTCATGTGCGATACCTACCTGCTGAGGAATATATATCTCATCCTTCTATCTGCGTGTCGGGCTCTCTCTCGGACTACGCTGAAGCGGCGCGCATCGTTTATTCATTTATGGTCATTTGTTAAATATGCCCACTTATGTAATACCCCACGATGTGAGACGATACGACTGGAGGAGCGCGCGCACACCATCTGTAACATCGCTGGACTTTCTCCTCTTAATCATTCAGTCTCTCGCGATTAACTCTCGAATTACATCAGAAGCACGTTTGAATGGAGCTGTACCACTTTGATTTAGCGACCGACTTAGATTTTGTGTTTTTCTTTTTTTTCTTTTTTTTTTTCTTTTCTTTTTCCCCAAGAAAACTAGCCGCGCATACGCTGCTTCAGGTGCTTCTAGCAATATGAAATTCTTTCACTTATACGACCTCTGGATCTATGAGATAACCCAGTGAGGTATAATGTAGCATGTGTGCAGCCGGCGAGGTAGGTGAATACCTTTGGACCCGATTAATACGCAGGGGAAGATTAACTCTCGCAGCCGGGGAGAGATCACGTCATGTAACGAATACCGCTCGCGTATTCGAGGCAGCTCCTCCTCTCCTCGCCCCCTCATCCTGCTTTCTCGATCGTAATTATTTGCAGCGCGATTTAATTTGATTTATCGCCGCTCATGCTTTATCCTGTAGCGCGAAAAATCCCTTCATCCCTCGTGCCTGAGCGTCGCGACTTCGGTGATGTAATAACCAAAATTATTCCGAACCTCTCCGATCGTTTATGTTTACGTGCTAATGTAAACATGTACCTCGACTACTCTGTTAACGCAACTACTTTGTATCTATCGGAAGTATTACCACATTGGGTTGTCAAAGTTGCGAATCGCAAGTCGCAAGCGCGATCGTGTCGTCGTGCGCGGCTCCGATCGCAACGCCTGCGTCTCTCGCTGTCGCTTTCGGAAGGCTAACGGTAATTGGCATACGCATACACACACACACACACACACACACACACACCGATCTAAAATTGCACTAACCATAACGGACTAACCGGCGGAACCCCATAGATCTATGGACAAAGGCTCAGAACGTTCAAAGAACAATTGGAAGATATCTGCCCGTCGTTGGACGCGTCGGTGAAGAGGCCGCGAAGAGATTCCGTTATTACGGTCGATAATGTTGCTCGCGATCTAGATACGCTGAACCGAAGATACACAACCCTCGTGAATCTGCTTGAGGAACGGGTCAGACAGCTGGCGTTACTCCATCCTGAAGACACTTCATTGCAGGTGAGTGCGATTCGATATTGTTCTAAAATAGCTTTAATGAATTATATCTTAGTTTTTTTTCAGGAGAGAAAGATTGAAACGCGTTTCGCGATATTATTACGAACAGAAAAAACGACTGACGAACTGAGTTTTTATTTGTCGGAGGTGTACTGGATTTTCCGTTTTGTTGATTGATTTGAACACTTGGTTCGAATGCAATACGGAACGCAGCAAATGTCTAGCGAGAGAACTCTCGGTTGCTGGGAATGTTCCAAGAACAAGTTTTCGCACTATCCATTCCTATTCCATCGGTTGCGTTTCGATGGATTGCTGCATTCCACAAAAAGGCCAGTGTATACCAGTGGAATAGATAGAATCCGGCGTACTTGTACGTACTTTGTCGCTATACTACCATAGTGACAAAAGTATAAACTAGTTAATGAGAATAATTGGAAGAGAAGTGATGAAAGAGAGCTACAAGTCGACGGGCAATGTAGACAGGCTGGTATTTCGCGTTAGATTTAACCTTCTCCGCGCTGCGGCGTGTGCTGCGGCCGTGACCGCAGTAATTCCGTGAAGGTCTGCAATTTGCATTGCCGATCGATACATTTCGGGAATCCGTTCCTCGGAGTGAATTCCTTCATTCGCGATGATCCATGGATCGTAACACTTGGATTCTCAAGCGATGCTTGGCTTGAGTCGCTCGATTCAAACGACGAGTCAGAACCGTCACGCGAGAACATCGCCGCGGTGTGAAGGTTATCTATTCGGCGTCGTATAAGATTGTGCACGGATGTGGATGCCGGTGTTGCATTTAACCGATTGCTAATTACCGAAAACAATAATAAGAGACACGACATTCGGACCGTACGACGATGTTCGTTTATTTACTTCATTTTTGTATGCTGCTCGTCGCATTAAGGTAGAAGTACTTACCAATGTGAGACACTCCGAGACACTCAAACTCACCCAACTCTGGAGCATTTTGTTGTTTTAATCTAGAGTATGAATATTTGTACTTTCACTATAGAATAATAACAACATGCATCGCATAAATAAGTACAGTGTTGTATTGTATATTGAAGATTTAAATATTCGTATTTAAAGATATCAAGACAATAAAAATGCCGAGGATACGTGTCACAACCGCGACACTGGTCACAACGGCCCAGATGCCAGATACACATATTTGTAAATTTATTACATTTGAACGGGGAAGTAATTTTTGTCAGCGTCAATGAAAAGTGAGAGGTCTCGAGGTCTAAGACGGACCGATCGAAACTTTCCGCGACGTAGTAGATGTTGTGCGACCGCGAATGACAATCTGAAATTAATGAGTAGAGAGGAATGAATATCAACGAGCGCTCTCGTGAAGAAAAAAAGAAAAACTGAGAGAGAGAGAGAGAGAGAGAGAGAGAGAGAGAGAGAGAGAGAGAGAGAGAGAAAAAACCTGTGTGTCCACATCTCCACACAGCCATATAATTATATTCGACGAATGACGACGACATCAGAAATAGCCGAGAAATATTTTTCTCGGTGCTGTGGCGCACCGTCGCATATCTCGACGGCAAGGGGAGGGCGGGCGGGAGAGGAATCGTACCGGAAACGGCTGATGGAACATATACATCTTTTCTCTTCTTTTTCCTTTTTGCTTTGTTGTTTTCTTTTTTTTTTCTCTCTTTTAATCGCGACCGATGATCGAGTTCGCGCGTGTTCGTATCCAATTGTCGTACTCTCGCTGTCACGCTCGTCACGCCGGCTAATACTAATCAAGGCTACTTTATCGTGAGCGCCAAACATCACCAATCTACGACACGCGACCGACTTTCACTCGATTCGCAGCAGCGGCCGCCGGTTTTTCGTTTCTCCCGTTCTCGTGCCGCGCGGTGTTACCGCGCCCGCGCCCGCGCCCGCGCTGGTGCCGGTGCCGGTGCCGGTGCCGCCGAGATCGATAAGGGCCGGCAATCAACGTGTCGGCGCGAACGCGGTAGAACACAAACGGGCAGTGGCGCGTTCACACCTGTTGAGGCCCCCTAGCCAACGTATGTTACGGTTAATTATCAAATTTCATTGTGACCGCGGTATCGTGCGCCAGAGCATTTGGGCCAATTTGAGCCAAAAAGGAGACATGTACACGTCTGGAGGGGTCAGATTTGTATATTTACATTCATCGCGTTCTTTTATTTTATTAATCTCGTGTATGTGAAGGATCGAATTGAAAATCCCAATTGACGCAATGAGAATCATATCGTATACATTGATAAAACAAGGACGATCATGTAGTAGACGATCGGTAATTTTTTAATGGAGAAGCGAGCATGCATCTTCGATTCACTTGTATCCTCTCGATATCCGGCTGGTCGAGCGACAAAAATTTCGCGCGATTTACTCGATGAGCTTGTTTGACTTTGAAAATACGTGACTCGATACAAGCATTGTCATTTTATCATTTTTCACCCGGATCATCCCCCCGGCTATCAAATTAATAAGGCTGTTAAGTACAATTTCTTTCGAAAATGGAAATGGTGCGCGTCGTTTGTGTAACGCCGGAAAGAGAGTGAAAGAGTCGGGGGGGGGGGGGAGAAACATTTTGCACACGTGGAATGTTAAATCGAATCGACCAAGATCAACTTCTTTTTTCAAGGCGATGAATGCGATTAATTTGGCACAATTCTGAAGGCGTGGGGAATCTTGAGCAACGTGCGCCAATGCGCCCACATCTAAACGCGCTACTGAAGGAACGTCGCGACGGTGGCGGCGGCGGGCGGTGGCGTCACTGCTACCTCCGCCGCCGCCGCCGCCGCCGCCGCCGCCTCCGCCGCCACCTCCGCCGCCGTCGCCGCCGTCACTATTCGCGTCTCCTCTTCGATGCCATCGGTGTCATCGAGAAAGACGCGTCGTCGCAGTGAGAGACCGTCGGCTGCGTCGCGATTGACTGTCCAGAGCAGGTCAAGCATGCTTGCCGGTCGTACGAGCAATTAAAATTCGTCGACGTCGTCGTCGTCGTCGTCGTCGTCGTCGTCGTCGTCATCGTCGTCGTGAGCGCGGCAGAAACACGCGGCAGATTCTCCGATGTGAGCGATCATGATCGTGCGAAAGGTACGAATATGATACATACAGCGGCCACGAGTGCACATTATCGCGTGCCGTCTACGAATGCTTCTTAATGTTGGATGCACACTCGTCCCACGGTGATGCACACACGGGTCTTGTCGCGCGCGCGCGCGCGAGTGAAATCGGAGAGCTGCGGACGTGCGCGATTGCGGTTGCGGTTGCGGTTGCGGCTGATTAATCGGCGAAATTATCCCTCATCAGACGCTAGTTATGAGAGTAGGGATTTACTTGTGTCATTCATGGAACGGCCATAAAATGTCGAGCGACTCGCGTATGTGTCGGATGCGCAACAATCGCGACAGCTTTCGCTATTTCGCGCTGATCGTGAGACAATCGGAAAAAATTCACAGGTGAATAGTTGGCGGCTAATTTATTATTTACGAACTCCCTGATATATGCGCGCGCTTCTTGATTGTCATACGTATAATATCAACATTTCAGAGTCGAGTAGAGTAAAACATATGCCAAAACAGTGGAGCATGACACGCGATTATTCTTCGCTTGTGGCTTCCGAAGGGAACGCGATCGGTAGTCAGTCGCGAATTCTCTCGTAATTTTTCTCGAGTATGAAATATTTTCTTCAACACATTCTTGCGTGAGCACATACGCGCGCCGCTTGACGCGTTATTTTGAGATTTTTCGATTTCATTGTACAGCGTCTCGTCTTGAGATAACACGAGAGACATTGCTCTTCCCACGCTATTCCCACGCGTGAACTTGCGGAACTTGCGTATTCCGGCAAAGTTTAAACTCAATTTTCTCCGCGTATGATGTACGCGACACACTTGTTAAAGTCTTCCTTGACGTTCGACTCAGTCATTGCTGATTACTCTTATCGGCTATTCGCCGATGTACGGCGTACGGCGTACGGCGCGATTGATTATGTCGAATCCGCAGGGTAAACTACGTATTTCGTGCCAGCTACTCACCGGGGTGCCTTATTGGCACTGTTGGGACCGTTGAGTATCGTTAGAATAGTATCGATTTTCGCGACGCTTTACTTGTGCGTTACACCAAGCGCCAGAAAATAGAGACATGTACCGTAGCGACGTAATACGCGTCGTCCCAATTGTCCCGCGGTGTCCGACAAGAGACAACTTCCCTGTGTAGAGGAACGTGACCAATCGCGGTGGATTCTTATTTTAACATGTGCACGGAGTGACCCAGAAGCAGGCACACCGGTCGATATACTCGAGCGGCTCGAGGTGTTTCTTCGAGATCGCGCTTACGTTAAAGTCTCATTACATGCATCGCACATACTTTAGCTGCGATGCGACGAAATTGTCCGACAATAACATCCCAAAATATATCGTGCACGCCGTCGTGGACGAGTTGAACGACTCGTCGATTATACTCTCGTTGGATGCGCGCGCTCACGCGTACACACACACCGCATTACACAAGCAAAATTAAAACGCTTTATAAAAATGAAAGTGAAAATACTTTATAGTTGCACACTATCTCGTAACCGGTGCGTAACAGGTGCGCAATTGTACGACGTGCTACGATCGATACTGTCGCGTCGTATTAATCAGGTACGATTCGTCCGTAAATCGACGGATTAATACGACGCAGGTAGCAAAAATCGGTCAGGGTTTTTCCTCCACGGACGTGTCGTAATCGACGTCGTATTAATACACTGTCGTGGATTTTACGATTCGCGTTCGTCAGCTCGATCGCTTTTATCGCTAATATGCGTTCGCATTCCGCGAGCGTTGAATTCTTCGCGGCCACGCTCTCGCGGAGCGTGGCCGCGAAAAATGATTCTGCGCCGTTTTTCTTCACGACGACTTATTCTCACGCACGAGCGAATTTCTTCTATCGAGACTTTGTTCCGTGTCGTCTACGTCGTTACGACTGTCTCGTCGTAGCTCGAGTTTACGGTGAAATTGACGATGAGGAATGGAAGGTCATTTACCAATTATACCGTCCCGTATCCGCGCGCGATGACATAAGCGGCCGTAATGACGTAGTCCTTTCCTGGACACCTACGTCCTCGGCCGGCAAGGCCGGCTCGCGAGGTATCGCATCCGAAATTACGCGTGTCTCGCGCGTTGACGGCCGCGCTGCCACGGCTTTCACGGTATTAGGCAATTAAAGAGGCTAGGCTTTTGATGTACATAATCGCACATGTCTCGCAGCAAGAGAGAGAGCGAGAGAGAGAGCGAGAGAGAGAGAGAGAGAGAGCGAGAGAGAGAGAGAGAGAGAGAGAGAGAGAGAGAGAGAGAGAGAGAGAGAGAGAGAGAGAGAGAGCGAGAGAGCGAGCGAGCGAGCGAGTGAGACTTTTGCGTAAGAATCGGTAACATGCGTATGCGACACGGGCGGCGGCGGCGCGGGTGATCAGTGAGCGCGCTAGTTATATTTAAAGAGAGCCCCGTCTCGGCTGAAAGACGGCTTACGCGGCGGCGCACGTGGTCCAATTATACGCCAGTTTAAACGTCGTGCAAACTTGTGCATCTCGCCGGGAGAAGGGGTGACTCGCTTAAATTTATGTGAGATTATGTGGCGGGCGGTTATAGCGTGGGTGACGTGGACGTCAATCCGATTGAGGAATTAAAGAATTTCGCATTGTGGTGACATCTCGGACAACGCGAGGTTTCAGCACGCGACATAGATTTGGAATTGATCGCGAAAACTCGCGAGGAAACGGTCATTTCGACGGAAATTCATGACGCGATCGTTGTGAATTGTGAATCTATTGGGAGTGTTAATTTTCTGTAATTTTCTCCCCCCCCCCTCCCCCGACTGAATATTTTATCGAAGAATCGGTGATTGTGTGTGTTCTGATCTATATTCCGGTATACATTCGACAACAAGTCGATTGTGTATCAGACACGTTTTGAAACAACGTAGGATTAAGTGCATAACATTTGTCGTAGAACGCGCAAACAGACAAAGAAATGTATGCTGCTGCTAACCGCGAAATGTCTACTTTCAGCGTGTTCTTCAAGAACAAAGGCCACTGCGGACGTTCCGCACAGAGTTCAACATCTACGAAAGCACCACTAGCGAGGAGCGTTATACCTCCACAACCACACACTACACTCAGTCGCAGTGAGTATGCCTGCAGTGAAAAACCTTTTGCGTCTGTATACTTTTCACTTTTCGCCTGTTTTTTTTCTTCCTTGTCTCCTCTGCCTCTCTTCCGTTTTTTTCCTTTAAAAATTTTAACACACATTTTACGACAAGCGCGCGCGCGTGGAAAGAAGTTTGGTGGAACTGTTTGGGGAATAATAAAGGGAACCGCGTGAATCTCACGTCTCTCGACGGTGGCCATTGTCGTAGATATACTTCGGAGCGACACGAGTCCACCGAGACAACGTTTTCGAGCGATACCTCGAGGCGAAGTTACAGCGCGGAGCAGGCCGCCGCGTATCGTCCTAATGGCCACGAGTCCACGAGTCCTGCGAGTGCCGTTTCACCGGCATCGGCGGCCATCGACATCGTCGCCGGCGGTGTCCTCAAGCGCTCGCACGAGACCGAAACCACGAATCACCACACCATCTCCTCCTCCTCTTTTTCCTCCAACGGCGGCGGCGGCGGCGGCGGCGGCGGCGGCGGCGGCGGCGGCAGCGGCGGCAGCGGCAGCGGCAGCGGCGGATTGCAGTTTAGCAGTAACGAGCGAGATGGTGGTGTTAGGCGGATGATAGTACCAGCACCGAGGGTGACACCATCCGCCGAGGAGGAGGACGACGGAGTTGTCGACGCGGAGAACGTGATTGACGTTAGGGGTATCGTAGATCCGAGCAGCGGCGAGATGTTGACCGTAGGCGAGGCGATCCGGCGGCGGATCCTCGACGTTAGGAACGGTAGGATAGTGACGTCCAACAACGGCAGGTCTTCGTCGTCGAGTATGACGATCGAGGAGGCGGCGCGCGCCGGTCTGGTTGATGCGGCGTTGGCCAACCGGCTGTTAGGTCCCTGCGGGGTGAACGACGACGACAAGGAGGGTGGACGACGAGGGCGGCGGGTGCTGTCGCTCCTCGAGGCGATCCAGCGGGAACTGTGCGACGCCGAGCGTGCCGACACCGCGGATCGAGTAAAGGTAACCACCACGACGACACGCCGTAACGACGAGCGTGCCGACGATGCGAGCACCGCCAACCTAATCACGGGGACTAGCGTTGTCGATGCGATGAGAGAGGGCTTGTTGGACCCGGCCACGGGCGAGGTGGTCGTCGAGAACGGCGAGCGAATCTCGATCGAGGAGGCGTACACGCGCGGTTACCTTACCAAGGTAGACGTGACCGTCCGGGTGAGTCGTAACGCCGTCGCGCTGTCCGACGCGATTGCGCAGGGTCTCGTGGACGATCGGTCCGGCCGCGTCACCGACCGCGTCACCGGCGAGTCCTACCCGCTGGACGAGGCGGTCGGCAAGGGTATCGTCGACGCGAACGTTAAGGAGGTCGTAGACACGCGCAACGACACCAAGGTGACGGTGGCGGAGGCCATCGAGCGTGGCATACTGAACGCCAAGAGCGGCCGGTACATGCACGGCCTGTCGATGGAGAAGCTGCCGTTTAAAGAAGCGCGTCGCCGCCAGCTGATCGTGAAGCCGATGACGCTCAAGGACTGCTGCGACCTCGAGATCATCGACGACAACGGCATGATCGCCAGTCCGACTCATCGCGGCAAGTTGACGATAGCCGAGGCTATGTCCCGCGGCGTCTTGGACTCCGCCAACGTCAAGTCCATAGTCGACACTCGCACCGGCGAGATGGTCACGTTAGCCGACTCATTGAACAGCGGCATTATCCGAGACGACGGCACGTATCGCGACACTCTCGGGGCCGTGGAGTATCCTATTTCACGAGCCGTAGAGAAGGGCCTCATCACGTCGGTGACGCAGAAGACCATCTTCGACATCGACGGCTTCAAGGATCCGGTCTCCGGGGAGTACGTAAGCCTGAACGCGGCTCTGCTGAAAGGTCTGATCAGCCCCAAGTCCGGCGGTACTTTCACCATCGACCTGTCCGCCGGCGCGGGCGAGACCGTGTCGCTGAGCGAAGCGGAGGAACGCGGCGGATACGTAAGACCGGAGGTAGCGGAGATGCTGAATCGCGGCATCGGCGTCATCGAGAACGGACGCGAGGTGAGCGTGTTGGAGGCTGTGCTGCTCGGACTGCTCGATCCTAAATCCGGTCAGCTGTTGGATCCGCGCAGCAAGAGGACAGTGCCGTTGGAGGAAGCGATCAAGCGCGGGCTCATTACGCCCGACGGTGCCGCACTGCTCACCAGCCTGCTGAACATTGCCGTCACCACGCAGACCGTGACGAGGACCGTCAGGAGGTACGTCACGACGATGGAGGCCGGCGAGGTCACTACGAGAGATCACTGCGAGATGAGCTACGAGGAGGAGGAGGAGGAGGAGGAGGAGGCGGCGGCGGCGGCGGCGGCGGCGGCGGCGCCTGTGTCGATCGACAAGGATCGACGAGCATCAGACAGCGAGTTACGGACTGTCGCGGACGTGGATGCGGACGCGACGATAAGAGTCGAGAGCAGCGGCGGCGAGCCTATCGAGGAGCGGAGCGGCGATGCGGTGGCGGCGGCGGCGCACTCGTCTCGAGAACGCCGCGCCAAGTGTTACGAAAGCAGCAGCAGCAGCACCACCACTCTCACGGCGGCGGACGTTGACGACGTGCTCTCACATCGTAGATCACACGGCGGATCACCGCCGAGGGCGATCGGAACGGTCACCACCGTCATTACCAAGGACATCACTCCGCGAGCGTCTTCCACGCCGACGAAGCAGTCTTCCGTCACGATGACGATCGCGCCGTCGTCATCGACGGCCGTGCGCAACGTCGTCGCCCCTGTTCCCGTTTCTACGAGAGACTCGAGCCATCGAGCCATCAAGGACTCAGTCACGATAGTCGCGAGAGTCGGCGAGTCGGCGGCCGAGTGGATCGGTTCCGAGATTACGTCGAAATCGAAGTCGAAATCGAGCTCGTGCGAGTCCGAGTGCGAGTACGAGGAAACTCGCGCGGATGCTGCCGAGTCGTCCAAGTTGTGGTGCCACGACGGAGCGACGAAGGAAGGGAAGATTCCAGTGTCGATTCCAGCCACCGTTGGCTCGTCGCTCGCGGAGACTGCAAGATCCGAGAAGGAGCGTGCTTACACCACCGACAAGAGGGTGTTCGAATTGCCCGCGGATGGCTGGGCGCTGTCCGAAGCCATCGATAGGAAACTCTTCGATCCCACAACAGGACTCTTCATAATCCCTGGCACTGACAGATTGGTCTCCTTCGAGGAATGCGTCAAGCTTCAGATCATCAATCCGAATTCCGGTTTTGTCATCGATCCCAACAACGGCAGAAAAGTGTCGCTGGTGCGAAGCTTGGAGAAGAACATTCTGGACTCGACGGGCCACTACAGCTATCCGCAAAAGATCTCGATGAAGGAGGCGATCGCGGACGGCCTGGTCATATTGGAAGATGGCACGAGCGCGGACAACGACAGCGCCGCCAATCAACGACTCCTTCAGATCACGAGGGTGTCCGGTAAGCCGGACGTCGTGAAACTGACGCGTGCCGGCGATCCTTCCGGCGAGCAAACGGAGATCAAGACCACCGACGAGATCTCGATGCCGGATCCCGTGCAGGTGACTCAAGGAGTGATTTACGACCCGGGGACGGCTCTGGTGATCTCCACGAAGACCGGCAAATCGACGAGCCTCTTGACCGCCGTTTCCGACGGCACGCTGTCGCCCGCCGCTGTGATCGTCAAGGATCCAACTACGGGCAAGGACATCGGCATGGCGGATGCCGTGAATCGCGGTATTCTCGATCTGAAAGCGCGCGAGTACAGGATCGACGACCGCAGGAAGATCTCGCTGCTGGATGCGACGAAATTCGGCGTGGTGTCCGTGCTCGGGGCCCCTCTTGCCGCTGCGACGGCCGCCGTGGAAGCGGTGCAGAGAACGATGGTGAAAGACCCGACGACCGGTAAGAAAGTACCGAGGGAGGTCGCGATTGAACGCGGCATCGTGCCAAAAACGCCGGATGCAAGCCTGCCAGTTGTCGTCGAATTCACTAGCGCTAGTGCCGGTAGTACTCCTGACGCCGATGAAGCCGAGGACCTTGCCCTCTCGCGAACTACACGCATAGCACACGAGGACGAGCCCGACGAGACATCTCCTCCGCCCGGAGGAGGAGGAGGAGGAGGAGGAGGAGGAGGAGGAGGCGGCGGCGGCGACGACGACGGCGACGGCGACGGCGGCAGCAGCGGCAGCGGCGCGAGAGATGTCAGTCCAACGAAATTCAGCAGTGACTCGCCGGATCGCCGTGAGAGTTTAGGTACGGAGACGAGAGCGCGAGTGACGGTCGAGCCGAGGTATCAGGTCACGATCGGCAAGGCGCGGACCGTTCCGTCGCAAAGTCCCGAACGCGGCGAGGCGAGGGCCATTGTCCTGCAGAAGATGCGGAAGCGGATAGTGAAGGTCGAGGAGGCGCTACAGCGCGGTCTGATCGACGTGGAAACGGCGGACACCTTCGCCCGAGAGATGTGCAACGAGAGAGGCGAGCCGATCACGCTCTCGGAGGCTATACGCGTCAGTCGGATCGACGCCGATCAAGGGCAGATCGTGGATCCTCAGCGCGGCGACGTGCTCAGCATCAAGCAGGCCATCGATCGCGGTATCCTGGATTCGGAGAAGGCGCACATACTGGTACCCTTGGCGAAGAGCCTGTCCGTGCACAGTTTGTACCGGCAGGGCTTGTTGGAGCCGTTGGAAGGTAAAATTGTCCATCCCGAGACGGGAGCGCACCTCACCCTCAACGAGGCCATAGTGTGCGAGATCGTGGATCCTCTGTCCGACCTGATGTTCACCGTTGACGGTCGCACGGAGACGCTGCAGTCCGCGATCGCGAACGACACGATCGACGCGGACAGGTCGCTGGTGAGGACTCAGCGCGGCAGCGTGAACCTAGTCAAGGCGATAGAGAGCAAGGTGTTCGAGCTGAAGGAACCGACCGGGCCCTACGCCGCCGATATACCGCCCGCGGGCATGACGTTCCCCGTCGCGTTGAAACGCGGCTTGATAGATACGAGCAGGAAAGAAGTGCGTCACCCGATCACCGGGGAACACCTGCCGTTGGAGGACGCCATAAGCGGGGACTTTATCATGGCGTTGCCCTATCCGGTGGCTCCCGACAGTATAGAGATCACCAAGGCTCTGGAAACCGGACTGATCGACCGGGACAACGCCGTGTTCTTTCATCCCACCACCGGGACTCCGATTCCCATAGCCGAGGCCGTCGAGTCCGGCCTGCTAATCGTCAAACCGCCGGCCGACGGCGAGAACGCGGCGACAGCCGCCATCACCGAGACTGTCACGTCGTACCACACCATCACGACCAAGACCGTCGAGCTACTGCCGGGTTACGCGTTGAGGAGCGCAATGGAGGTGCAGGATATCAATACCGGCGGTATTATCGCCATCGACGAGGCGCGACGAAGGGGCATCATCAAGGACGAGTCGGAGAGCAAACAGGAATTCACTACGAAGGACATCAAGATGTCCTTCGATCGCGCGGTCGAGAGAGGACTCGTGGACATGGAGACCGGCATGTACACAAATCCTCGCACCGGTGTCACGATGCCCATTGACAGGGCCGTTGAGGAGGGGATACTCGACACTACCGCCGCCACCGTCACCGAGAGCGGCGGCGATCTATCGACCGGCGGAGGAAGATCCCGACAGTTCAACAGCGGCATGACCGTGCTGGAGGCGGTCGAGCAGATTTACGACGAGAGGACGGGAACGTTCAACGATCCCGAGACCAATGAGTCTTACAACTTGATGGAAGCGATGAGGGTGGGTCTGATCGAGCCCGATTCTGTTCTCTATAACGTGAGGACCAAGGAATCCATCACTACCAGAGAGGCCGTGGAGAAGGGTCTGCTCGATCCCGACACCGGAAAGATGAACACCGTGCGCGATCAGAAAGACCAGCCGATCAGCATAGCGGAAGCGACGAAGCTCGGTCTACTGGCGGTAGTCGCCGCCGCGCCAGTACTCGCCGGTCGAGCGGTGGTCGACGCGATCGCGAGCCGTAGAGTAGCCGCCAACGGGTCCAAGCCGAGCAGCGTGCCACTACCCGCTTCCGCGGAGGAGCGACCAAGTTCACCCGCGGCGAGGATCTCCTCGGCCAAAGCATCCGTCCGAAGCGTCCGAACCCCCCGTCGAACCGCCGCGTCACTTGTTCGACCTGTCGACGCTTGCGACACGCTTGAGACGCCTGTCTCTCAGCGGGAGAGCGGGATACCTAGCGCCGAGGTAAGGGCGCCGCGGGAGCAGCAGGCATCTTCGACAGCGGACGCAGGAGGAGTGACTGTCTCACGATCGCCTCAGCCAGGAGAATACGCGCAGCAGCAGCCCGCTGCTGTTGCTGTTGCTGTTGCTGCTGCTGGTGCTGGTGCTGGTGCTGCTGCTGCTGGTGCTGGTGCTGGTGCTGGTGCTGGTGCTGGTGCTGGTGCTGCTGGTGCCGTTGCTGGTGCCGCTGCTGGTGCTGCTGCAGCCGTAGCCGTTGGCGAGGATGCACCTGACTGCAAACGACTGTCTTCGCGCGAGAGGCGAGAGGACATTCTGCCCGAGGCAGAGACGAACGATGACGACGACGAGAGGATGAAGGAAATCGCGGAGGGAAACGCCGCCGGACAGGTCTCGGTAGTGATCACGAAGGAGCTGTCGCCTCAGATACTCGCGCAGCTCGGCGTATTTGACCCCGTGAGGGAGAAATTTTTGGATCCGGAGACAGGTATCGTCACTTGCTTCAACGATCTGGTCTTGAACCTCGGGGTCTTCGATCCTGACAGAGTGTTCGTCAAGGACCTGTCGTCGGACTCGTACGTGCGGCTGCGCGAGGCGATCGGCCGACCTCTCGTGGACCGTAATGTCGCCTATATGGTCGATCCGAAGTCCGGCAAGAAGATACCGTTCTTCGAGGCGGTGCGTCTGGGATGGATCGTGCAGGAGGCACCGGCGGAGGACGACGATGAGGCTCGGGATGAGACCGAGCGGCCGACGCGGCGGGATTCGCTGCCGTTGAGTTTGCAGGAAGCGATCGACGCCGGTGTGTGCAATCCGGTCACGGGGACGATTCTGGATCCCAGATCGGGAGAAGCGTTGGCCATGAGCGAAGCCATCGACACGGGCGTCATCGATGCCGACGTGCTCGGCGTCAGGAATCCGATCACCGACGAGATCGTGCCGCTGACAGAGGCATTGGAGACCGGCATGGTGGATCTTGCCAAGGGCGTCGTCATCAGCGCGGAGACGAGGACGGAAATCGACATCACCGCCGCGTTCCTGCGGGGTCTGATCGTGCCTACCTCTCGCAAGCCGATCTCGCTGGAAGCCGTTATCAGGAAGGGCTTGTACGACGCCGACGCGGGGACAATACAGGATCCACTGACCAAACTGCCGATCGACATCGAGGAGGGCGTCCGCAGGGGTGTCGTCGACGCTTTCATCACCGAGGTCCAGGACACGAAGGCCGGATCATCCGTCTCGCTGGACGACGCGCTGACGGTGAACCTGCTGGATCCCGGCACGGGTCGTTTGCGTGACACCAAGGCGGGAGAACTCTTACCTTTAGACGTAGCGCTCGATAGAGGCTTAATTATTACAACACCGTTCGTGCCTTCGCTGATCGACGCGATCGACCAGGAATACTACTCACCGAAGACCGGCTTCGTACTGAATCCCATGACGGGCGAGGATCTGACGTTGAAGGAGGCGTTGGACGTCGGCTATGTCGACGGCGCCACGACGGTGGTGAGAGACGACCGGAGAGACCGTGTGATCTCCTTGGACGAGGCGCAAGAGAGCAAACTGATAGACCCAGTCAGAGGTACGCTGACGTATCCGCACGCCATGACGCTGGACATCGCCTTTGAGAAGGGTTACATCTTGAGCACCGTAAAACCATGGACGTTGCAGGAGGCTCTGGCACTTCAGGTCTACGATCCCGAGTCCGGCACTTTTAACATCGACAGAAACAGCTATACCCTAGAGGAGGCGGTCGAGCAGGGCTTTATCAGCAAGGACGGTCCGTCGATCAGGGACCCGCGAAACAGCGACATCATATCGCTAGGCGACGCCATTAAACACGGCTTCATCAATGCGAAGACCGGCACGGCCGTGGACCCGTGTACCAGCAGCAGCGGCGGCGGCGGCGGCGGCGGCGGCGGCAGAGGCGGCAGCAGCAGCAGCAGCAGCAGCAGCAGCAGCAGCAGCGGTACGGCCCTTTCGTTGACCGATGCGTTGGATCGTGGCTTCATAGTGCCGGCAAAACGCAAGATATCCCTGCCGGAGGCCGTGTTCAAGGGTCTGTACGATCCTAAGACCGGGCAGTTCACGGTGCCTGACACGCAGGAGAAACTTCCTACCGATCGTGCGATCAAGATGGGCGTGATCGACGCAACGACCGCGATCGTGCGGGATCCTAACGGCGACGTGATAACGTTCAACAAGGCCATCAAAACGTCGATAGTCGACCCCAAAACCGGAACGGTCAGCCACGCGAGAGGACCGCCCGTGGACTTTCATGAGGCGCTGGAGCGCGGCCTGTTGCTCGAGACTAGAAGACCCATGAGCTTCAGCGAGGCGATCTCGAAGGGTATCCTCGACGACAAGAGCAACAAGTTCCTGGATCCGCAGACGGGCGTTTATCTAACGGTTCTCGAAGCTATTCAGAGCAATCTGATTGACGCCGACTCGGTCACCGTCAAGGATACAACTGGTAGATCCAACTGGGTGTGGAAAACGATGACGCTGAGGGAGGCTATACGGCTGGGCTGTGTGGACGGCGTTACCGGTTACCTCAGAGATTCTAACAAGGGCAACAGAAGCGTGTCTCTGAGAGATGCCTTCGAGTCCGGCCTCATCGTCGACAGTAGGGCCGCCGTGTCTGTGCAACGCGCCATTCATCAAGGACTGTATGACGACAACACTGGCAAGATCACCGATCCTAGCACGGGCAGGGCCGTGACGCTGCACGAGGCGATGAGAAAGTGCGTCATCAGTCCCACGTTGCCGTGTTACTGGGACAAACGCGGCGAACGGCTGCTGTCGTTGGCGGAAACGTGCCGTGCCGGTGTGATAGACAGACGCACCGGCATGTTCAAGGAACCGGCGGGCGCCGGTTGTCCGGTCTCGTTGTCAGTGGCGCTGCAACTCGGCCTGATCGTCGACATCGAGAGCATGGGCTTCGGCCTGTACGAGTCGGTACTGATGAACATGTACGACGTCGGCACGGGTAGGTTCGCGCACCCGATCAACGGCCGCAAGTTGACTCTGGCCGAGGCATGCCAGGTGGACCTGATCAATCCTCTGACGTCGATCGTCAAGTGCACCAAGTCGAGCAAATACATGCCGCTGGCCGAGGCGATCACCGCCGGCATCGTCGACGACATTCGCGGCACGTACGTGATCCGCGAGCTCGATAGGACTATAAATCTGCTGGACGCCACGAAGAAGGGTCTCGTCGTCACGTCGAGAATGCCGTTGTCGATCGAGGAAGCGGTCAAGTATCGGCTCTACCGCGGCGACAGCGGCAAGTTCGCAAATCCCGTCTCGAACGAGTACCACGACTTGCTTCAGGCGATCAACTGCGGCCTCGTAGATCCCGACACTACCGCTTTGAAGGACGCGACAACCGGGCAGATCAGGTCACTGTTGGCCGGCATTGAGGACGGCACGGTCGACGTAGTCCGCGGCAGGATACTGGATCCCAAAACGACTCGCGCCTTTAATATCGACGTCGCGTTGGAACGAGGTCTGTTGGTGACGATAGACAAACCCCTGGCGCAACAGTCGGCGCATGTAACGCCTTTGGACGCGTGGCCCAAGGCCGGCCCCGGCCCCGGCCCCGGCCCCGGCCCCAGCGATCGAAGCGTTCGGGAATGCACATTGGAAGAAGCGATCAATTACGAGCTGGTCGATCCGAACACGTCGGTAGTACGAGACTCCAGAACCGGCCGATTCGTGACGACGGCGCGCGCGATAGCCGACGGTATCGTGGATGCCTCCGTTAGGGGCACCGTCGAGCTGAAGATCGGCGGCGGCGGCGGCGGCGGCGGCGGCAAGAGAGAGCCACGTTTCCTGCGTTTCGGAGATATCACCGTGTTCGTGAGGGAGCCTGTTGCGTTCGATGTGGCGATCGAGAAGGCGTATCTGTCCTTGGACTCGGGCAAATTTACGGATCCGGTGACGAATGAGCAATTAATCCTGAAGGAGGCGGTCGGTCTCGGTATCGTGGATTCGGATTCGGCGTTGATCAAAGACTCGCAGAAGAGGAAACTGGTAAAGTTGCCGGAGGCTTTCCGCAAGGGCATGATGGACGCGGAGAAGGGCAATGTGTTGGACACGGCCACGTCCAAATTGTACAGCCTATCGCGAGCGCTGGAGATCGGCCTATTGATCACACCGCGAAACGGCGTCTCGTTCATCGAGGCGCTGCAATTCGGTCTCTACAATCCCACCACGGGCGGCTTTCACGATCCCTTTGTAGTCACTTCCGTGTTAGATCGCAGGCGTCTCACGCTGGCGGATGCGATCAACTCGGGCCTGATCGATCCGTCCACCACCGTGATCAGAGATCCCTTTACGGGCGAGATTGCGAGTCTGTTAGAGGCAGTGAATAGCGGGAAGGTAGATTCCGTAGGTGGCAGGTTAGTCGAGGATACGGACGGCAAGAGTATCGACTTCGTGAAGGCCCTGGAGCGTGGTTATATACTCGCCGCAGAAGCCAGGGTAAGTAGAGAAATTTTCTCTCTCACTCTTTCTTTCTCTCTCTCTCTCTCTCTCTCTCTCTCTCTCTCTCTCTCTCTCTCTCTCTCTCTCTCCCCCTTTAACAATACTCGCGTTTGCCGTAACCAAACAACCAACAACAACAACAATCGACAGCTCTTCTCTTTGTCTTTCTCGTTTGTTTGAATCCGTCTTTTCCTTGTTTGGGTTTCTCTATTATTTTCTTATCAGAGTTTACGTTGCTACTGTTTTTCTCAACGCACTCACGATTCTCTCTAACAGCTTCCCGACAGTCGGCGGACGTCATTATCGTTGCGCACGTTGTCGCGTCAGTCGGCATTACGTTTTATTTTGTCATACGACTTTCTCTCTCTCTCTCTCTCTCTCTCTCTCTCTCTCTCTCTCTCTCTCTCTCTCTCTCTCTCTCTCTCTCTCTCTCTCTCTCTCTCTCTCTCTCTCTCTCTCTCTCTCTCTCTCACTCTCACACACATTCTCTTCGTCATTATCATCACCTATTGCTTGATTAGACGTAAACTTTTTTCCATCTCCATTGATCGCTAAGAGAGACGCTTGCGCTGAAACACATGGTCCTGCATAGACCTCTAATAAACTGTCGTTTTCCAACTGGCATGGCATTTTATTCGTTCCGCTCGAGGACCGAGAGAAATGATACGCCGTAATGTGCATGGGAAAGTGAAAGAATCATTTTCGCTCCGGCGCTGTCTCTCTCTCTCTCTCTCTCTCTCTCTCTCTGTGTCTATCTGTCTGTCTGTCTCTCTCTTTGTTCCCTTTGCTCCGTCGAATCAAATCATCACTATGCTTCCTCTTATCGGAATGCTCGCTTCCCCAATGGTTTATCTTATCGTAAGATCATCTTTTCATTGTGCATCACATTATACTCGCTCTCGTGCTTTTATCTTCATTCAACATAGATTCAGTAAAGGTCGAGCATCATTACGATAAAAATGATACCAGTCGGATATCGCGTATGCCTCCTCGAAAGGAGGGAGGACGGTTCGCCATTGTCAGATCGACAGATTCATTGGAATTATTGAACATCGCATCACGAGCCATCTTTCCATTCACTACGCAGAATATATATCATCAGTTCCAAGCCGTTTTATCGCATCAACAACGCTATTATCCCCAACCCTTTTTGATAAATTAAGTAGCATTAATCTATAATTTTATCATTAATCTATAATTTGACAACTCGCTTACCACTTATTTCTCACGGTGCATTTTTCGTCGTTTTGTGTGCGCAGTGAAAATCTGAAAGTTACATTTTTATATAACATGTTTCGGAAGAAGCCTTGGGAGAAAAAATACAATAGTAATTAAAGAGTGGATCACACATACGTAAATCGGATCAGTCACAATTGGATCCAATTCAGAGAGAGGGTAGAAAGACTAATTGAAAGAAACATTCATTCGCGCGCTGAGTATACTGATAGCGTAACACAAAGACGTTGCATGTGCAACAGAGAAACAGGATTCGCAAGTTAGCACTTTTTCTACTCGTCGTTCAAAATTAACACCTTGAAAGTTAACTCGAGAGAAAGAGAAAAGAAAGATTTGAACGTTGAAAGAACACGTAAGTATAATTCTCACGCGATTGCCTTTCATCATTTGCTCTCTGTAAAATAGATCAGAGTGTTATCGGGAATGGGAATGATGAAGACGAATATTATGGCGAATAAATATTCAATGCATTGTTGAATGGAAGAGAGAATACATCAAATTACGATGAGATTGCGATCAGAATGGAAAATGATAAAAAGCAGTAGTGGATAATGGAATGGAATGCTAGAACGATCGATTGATATTATGTCGCTAAATTGTTGTTAATGTAACATGAGAAAACGTGAGACATACTCGACAGTAATTAATAGTTACAATATTCACTGATGTTGTGTGTATTCACACAAACACACACACACACATTATAATGGACGCACAGATTTCGTGATATATATATTTCAACAATTAAAAAGAGCTCTCTCTCTCTCTCTCTCTCTCTCTCTCTCTCTCTCTCTCTCTCTCTCTCTCTCTTTCTCTCTCTTCCTCTATAACAAGTAAATTACGCAGACAAGATCAGATTAGATTTTTCGTTAGACAAAGACAAAGATTGATCGATTAGTTTCGTTCGCCGATCTTCGCAGGATTCTCCTACGATTAACACGTAATGAAATTAACAAAAGTGTACAGTATCCTATCTTATTTCTGATGATTTATTCGTTAATTAATGCGTTCTTAACCCGACTAGTTTTTAATATTTGTGTCTGTTCAAAGTTATGACAATTATATATTTAAATGTTTTCCTTTTTTTTCAGGTATGATTATGTTTACTTAATCACGAACCTATGTTTTCGCTAGCATGAGTTAGCCGGAGTTACTCCACGTTGTACATTACCACCGTGTCATACATTGTTACGCATTTACTATATTATACAGCGCCATCACACGTTGTTACTACACGTCATTGTGCGTTTTAATTTATTTGCTTGTTGGAACGTGTTTTACTGCGCAAACCACGTGAGCTCATACTGTTATCGTTTACGCTTCAAACTGCATATGAAAAAGGAAAACGGATACGAGAGATATGCAGTTCTTGCAGATAAATTAAAGCTACCATTTAATACTGTATTTACCTGTACGTTGAAAGGTGTGCCTGTGTTTGCATGCGTGAGATATGTCGTAAGCTTATTATCTACCTACGTTTCTTTGATTCTCGCTCGATAATGCGGTAGCCGTCGTCATTTGGTAAGGTGACACGACACTTTTCTCAGGTTTATCCCCTTTCCTCTTGGCACATTAGGCTTAGGCTCTCTCTCTCTCTCCCTCTCTCTCTCTCTCTCTCTCTCTCTCTCTCTCTCTCTCTCTCCCCCCCCCCTCTTCCTCTCCCTCTCCCTGTCCCTCTCTCTGTCCCTCTCCCTGTCCCTCTCCCTCTCCCCTCTCCCTCTCCATCTTCCTCTCCCTCTCCCCCTCCCTCTCCCTCTCCCCCTCCCTCCTCTCCTCTCCCCTCTCCCCCTCTCTTTCTCTTTCTCCCCCCTCCCCCCCTCTCTCTCTCTCTTATAGCGTGACACGCGCACACGAGCAAATTAAAACATATCGCTTTTCTTCGACTTCGTTTTAGCAAGCGGTAGAGGAGAAGTATAAGCTGTGCGACGAGACGTTGTCCAAGCTCCTGCAATGGATCTCTGTGGTCGAGGACAAGCTGGCGAATCAGGACACTGTCAAAGAGGACGTCGAGGAATTGAGGAAGCAGATACTTGCCATGAAAGTGAGTGGCCAGTGGCGAATGTGCCTGTTGGAAGATTGTCGCGCGACTAAACGCAAACGTATAAATGTGAACATGAGAACGTAACGTAACGAATAATGAAAACGTTTTGCAGGAGATAAAGGAGGATCTTGAGACGCACAATCGGCCCATCTCATCCTGCTTGGATCAGATTCGGCAGGTCGTACTAACCGGCAGCAATGTGCTGTCCAGTGACGAAGTGTCCACATTGGAGAAGAACGGTCGGTCATTAAAGACTCGATTCGACAAAGCACTGGACCGCGCTGATAAATTGGTGAAGCGCCTCACCGGCGCCAGAGACGAGCTAACGAAATTCAAGTAAGCATTAAACTTCATTAGAGCCAAGGGCTCTTTGAAGGGGATCAGATTCATATAGATTCATTCTCATGATCTCACATCAGTCATTTCCCCTTCATTCAGTTTTCGCTCGATCGAATGTCAGCAGAGCTCTCTGTGTGCCCCTCCGAGTAAATGAGTGAGATGGCATTTTTCGCGTTTTAACAATCGTTCGCCCTCCTCGCAGGAACGAGCTCACGACCTTCTCGATCTGGCTGGAAAAGGCTCAGAGTGTACTCGAGGATAAAGAGCGTTCCTTATCCGACCTGAACAAACTGAACAGCAGCACAGACACCACGCGCGACTTCATCAGCGATGTGATCGCTCATCAGGCGGACCTGAGATTCATCACGATGGCGGCGCAGAAATTCGTCGATGAGAGCAAAGAGTATCTTCAGGTTCTCAATGACTTTAGGACCAGCCTGCCCCAGAGACTACCGCACAAAGAGCCCACAGCCAGCCAGGACTCGCCGGTACGAGCCGAGGTGTCCACCGCGACGGCACGATACAAGGACCTGCTGTCCCGTGCGAATCTGCTGTCGGATAGGCTGTCAGGAGTTGGCGGCAAACAGAGGGATTATCACGATTCCTTGGAGAAGGCTAGAGCATGGTTGAGAGACGTCGAGCCCAAGGTCCACAGAGTTATCTCCGAGCCGGTCGCTGCCGAGCCGAAACAAGTGGAGGACCAGTTGAGCAAAGCCAAGGCGTTGAACAACGAGTTCCTCGCCAACGAACGTTTAGTCGACAATGCCAAGCACAGCGTCGAGGCTTTGTTGCATTCGTTGGAGGGCCAGCTGATGATCAACGAAGCTAACAGCCTCGAGGAACCGGTAAAAGCGTTGGAGGACAAGTACAAGCAGCTTAGCAACGCCTTGGCCGAGAAGTGCCAGGAACTCGACACGGCGCTAGTGCGAAGCCAGGGTGTGCAAGATGCGTTGGACGGTCTCGTGGCATGGCTGAACAACGTGGAAAGTCAGTTCAAGTGAGTATATACAGCCGAAAACTATTCGTATTTTACTTTTTAGGACGCGTAAAAATTCTCCCGTCGCGTGTCGCGGGATCTATTCTAAAGTGTTTATTCGACGAGAGGCTCTTGTCAATTCGTGAATTGCATCGCGCACAGGTCGCTTCAACGTCCAGCGAGTTTGCAGAAGGAACGCTTGGAGGAGCAACAGAGGGAACAGCGATTGCTCCAGGCGGACTTGGATAGCCATCGTCTGAGCGTAGAGACGATCACGGCGAATGCTCAGGACCTCCTCATGAACTCGAGCAACGTTCGCATCGCCAAACGCATCGAGAGCAAGCTGAAGGACGTGCAAAGCAGATTCGAGAAACTGATGGACAAGTCGCTCAGACGCGGCGAATTCCTCGACGAAATAGCGCAAGCTCTGAACGAGTTTCTCGGGGATGTGTCCAGGTTTGAGAGCTGGTACGCTCACACGATGGAGGCGCTTGACTCGAGGGACCTCGGCAAGTTCGACGTGTCGGACTACGAGAGCAAGATGGCTCGGCTGATAGACACGCGCGAGGACCAGCGCGGCAACTTCGAGGACCTCGTGCGTAATGGAAAGAATCTGATCGCCAAGAAGGACATAACCGAGGCCGGCGCGATCCGAGACAAGATCAAGGCGCTCGAGTCCCAGTGGAAGGAGCTGAACAATCTTCTCGACGAGAAGCAACGGCTGTGCAAGTCGCGAGCGGAACAGCACACGGCGTACGAAAAGCTGCGGGACCAAGTGCTCGACTGGCTCAGCCGCACGGAGAACAAGGTGCAGGGGCTCGAGCCGGTGGCTGTGGACCTGGACAAGCTCAAGATGCAGCAGGAGGAACTGAAGCCGATACAGAAGGAGTATCGCGATTACGGCAATACGGTCGACAAGATCAACGATCTCGGCATCGCTTACGACAGCTTGATGAAGGAACGCGGCGAGAGTCCGACGCGTCGTCGCGGTAGCACCAGCCCGACCAAGAGACCACCACCAGGTACATATAATCTCGTCGCACTTGTGCCGATTTTACTCTGCGGAACGTAGAGCCCCGAGCCTGAACCAACGCGCAAACCAATTATTGGCGCCGTTCGTTCGTGCTACGTATGGTGCTGCTACTGCTACTGCTACTACTACTATTACTACTACTACCACTACTACTACTACTACTACTACTACTACTACTACTACTACTACTACTACTACTACTACTACTACTACTACTACTACTACTACACTACTACTACTACTACTACTACTACTACTACTACTATTACTACTACTACTATTACTATTACTGCTACTACGTCTCACGTGTCTCCTCCCTCACGTTGCATCTTTTTCAGCACACGATCATATTGCCATTTACGTTGCGTTTGATCGTTTCTGTTTTCTGTCATTTTTTTTGTAGTACTGCGAATATCACAAGACGGTCGCTCGCCGTCGCCCACTAAATCCTACACGGTTCAAAGTCCGGTCTCCCCAGGTGGTAGCAGTGGGTTCAGCAGTCGGCGCTCGAGCCAAGACGGCTTCCATCTGGAAGATTTGTCGCCGGTTCAACAGCAGCTTTCGGAGATCAATCACAGATACGGACTGCTCGGCGTCAGGCTGACGGATCGCCAGACTGAATTAGATAACATTAAGGACGAATTGAAGAGACACTCGGAACACTTGAAAGTGCTCTCTCAATTTCTGGACAAGGTGATTGCGCGCGCTCCTTTTTCTCTCCCGCAACATTGTATTCTTCTTTCGTCATCTCCGCGCGGTGTGTGACGAGTGCATGAGAATGAGTAAATAATGTGTCGTTGTGTTAATACCAGATACAGCGGCAGTTGCCCAAGGAGAGTATGCCGGCTACCAAGGACGACGCGGACAAAACGGCCAAGCAGGTCAAGCTTCTCGTCGAGGAGATGTACGAGAAGCAGTCCCTGTTGGACAGCACCCGGACGCAGGTGCGCGATTTGGTCAGGCGTAAGAAAGGAGCGGACGGTGTCGACAGGCTGAACGATGAGATGGAGGATGTCGTCAGCCGATGGAGATCGATATCGGACAGATGCAAGGACAGAATCAAATTCCTGGAGGACATCAAAGATCTGTACGACACATACGAGGGTCTCAATTCCTGGCTCGGCGCCAAGGAACGCATGCTCGGTGCACTGGGGCCCATCTCGTCCGATCCTCGCATGGTCGCGAGTCAAGTGCAGCAGGTGCAGGTGCTGCGGGAGGAATTCAGGACGCAGCAGCCGCAGTTGGATCACCTGGTGCAAGTCGGCGAGAGTGTCCTCGTCACGGTGACCGTCGATTCGCCAGACGGGCAGAAGATCAACGTGAAATTGCAGAGCATTTTGCAGAGGTGGGCCGATCAGGTCGGCAGATTGGACGAGAGAGCGCAGAGTCTGGGAGACGCCGTCGACACTAGTCGCGAATTCGATGCCAGTCTCAATCGGCTACGAGATGCCCTGCAGGGGATCTCGGATAACCTGGACGAGTTGACCCTCGAGAAGGATCCCGAGGAGCAGCTACGTAAGATCGAGAACCTGGAGAGGCAGCTGGAAGGACAGAGACCACTGCTAGCTGACGCGGAGATGGCCGGTGCGCAACTGTGCGAGATTCTGAGCGACCCAGCATCAAAGTCCGAGATTCAAGGAAAGCTCGCTGTGCTGGGCAAGTTGTACAACAATCTGCAGAAGAAGTTGGACCACAGAAAGGCCGAAATCGAAGGTAATCTTCGGGACGGCAGGCAATTCGAGGCTTCCTGCAGCCGAACTCTCGGATGGCTCGCGGATGAATTTGGCAACATGTCTGAGAAGCTGCTGGTATCCGCTGACAGAGACATTTTGCAGCAACAACTCGACCATCATGAGGTATCATGTGGCGGCGACGTTGGATAAATTTTCTTCCCTTTTTTCCCTCGTATAGACTCAATGCTACTTTATATTTCACATTTCATTCTTTTCTCTTTACACACACACACACACACACACACACACACACACACGTGTGTGTATGTGTGTGTGTGTGCGCGCGTGCGTACGTGTGTGTGTGTGCATGTGCGCACGCGCGCATTTATTTACTTATTTATTTGTAACGTTGCTTATAGCCCGTGTATCGAAATGTGATGGGCAAGGAACACGAAGTCATAATGCTGTTGAACAAAGGACGCGACATACTCGCGCGATCGCAAAAAGTTGAAAATCGTTCTCTGCAACGCGACCTGGATAAGATGCAATCGCAGTGGGACCGTTTGAAGAAGGACACCGTCGAGAGACACACGAGATTGCAGACCTGCGCGGAACATTGCAAGAAATACTACAAAGCTCAAGATGTGTTTCTTCCATGGCTTCGTCAGGCCGAGGATAGATTGGACAGCTTGATCCCAACCTCATTCAGACGCAAGGACATTGAGAAGCAGCTCAAGGAACTGTCGTCGTTCAGGAACGAGGTGTGGAAGCATTCCGGAGAATTTGAGAATAACAAGACGCTCGGCGAGACATTCGTCGGAGCTTGCGACATCGACAAACAGAATGTGAAGAATGAGCTTGGCGCCATGAAGACCAGATGGGATAAATTGAACAATGGTACGTAATTAATTAATCGGTATTGCACAGCGATTGTTGTGCTTCATAGCCAAGAGAAATTTTACACCTTACGAAGACTACACAGATAAGATTGTGCACACTACATATAGAATTTACATATACACACACAGGAATTTATTTATAAATATTTCGGGCGGTTTTCGAGATGTAAATGCTTAATTTTTATGCGTATTACACGATATTACTTGCAGAATTACTTTTTTCCAGATTTGCTATCTAGAACACAGTCTTTGGAGGATACCGCGCGTCATTTGATGGACTTTAACGAGAACTTGCGCGACTTGCAGCACAGCTTACAGCGCTGCGAGGATAAGTTAGCGTCGCACGATGCTCTTGGTGGCGCGGCTAAAGATCCGAAACTTCTCGACAGAATAAGGGTAAACCTTGCATTTACTAGCGTCACTTGCGTTTTCCTGTTCGGGTAAACAACACAGTCGGCCGACAACATAGTGTCGGTCGATCAATCTGTTTGAATCTATTTATTAATTTACAGAATTTGCGAGAAGAAACGACGAGCTTGAAGAAACCGTTGCAATGTGTGAGACAGCAGGCTAACGATCTCGTAAACAAAGCCAGCGAACAAGGTGTTGACGCGTCACACCTGCAAGACGAAATTGACAACGTCACGGATCGCATCAACGATTTGCAAGCGAAACTGGACGACCGGTGCAACGAGTTGCAGAGTGCAGCGACCGCCGTCGCGCAGTTCAACGATCAGGCCAAGTCGATTAGTCAACATCTGTCCGCTCTGGAGAAAGATCTGGACTCGATGAAGGCACCCGGCAGGGAAATCAAAATTGTGCGCGGCCAATTGGAGGATATCGCCAAAGTTGTCGGCAAGATCAACAAACTCTACGAAGAGATCGGTGATTTGGAGAGTCGCGGCGAACGTCTGGTCGATTATGGTTTCGCCGCCGACGCTATGGCAACCAGAGACCAGGTTGAAGGATTCAAACGACAAATCGGGAAGCTGGACGAGCGTGCGCATACTCGAGAAGACGAGCTCACCGCCACTTTGAATAGACTGCAAGAGTTTTATCAGTCGCATGCGGACGTCATGGAGAGTATCGGTGAGGCGAACGAGCAGGTTAGGAGATTCAAGCCCGTTGGTTCCGAGGTAGATTCAATCAAGGCCCAGCAGGAGGATTTCAGGGCGCTCAAGGTGAACAAGATCGAGCAGCTGGCGCACGCCGTTGAGGAATGCAATGCGCTCGGTCAGGGTCTCGTGCAGACCGCGGGACGAGATGTCAACACCGGTAATATCGAGAAGGACGTCGATAGAATGAACGAAAGATGGAACGATCTGAAGGACAGGGTGAGTATTCGATCTGTGGTTGTTGCTTTCGTTAACTTTATAGAAAGTTATGGATACGAGCTGTGAGTGAGATTCTAAGCTGCCGAAACTCCCCATATAGATAGATAGATAGATAGATAGACAGAGACAGACAGACAGACAGACCGACAGACAGACAGACAGACAGACAGACAGACAGACAGATAGATAGATAGATAGATAGATAGATAGATAGATAGATAGATAGATAGATAGATAGATAGACAGATAGATAGATAGATAGATAGATAGATAGATAGATAGATAGATAAATAGATACATAGACTTTCGAACAGTCAGAGTTGCGCAATGTGTGCAGACACATGTTCGATGCTCACGAGAGAATGCTCAACAAGAATTAGATATCTTGTAACCACTCACTAGTCATATTGTTGTTGCTGTAATGTTTGCTCCTCTGCTTCTTCCGCTCTTCAGTTGAACGAGCGCGATCGCAAATTGGACGTCGGGCTACTGCAGTCGGGCAAGTTCCAAGAGGCCTTGGACGGCTTAGAGAAGTGGCTGACTGATACGGAAGAGATGGTCTCGAATCAGAAACCACCGTCCTCCGACTACAAGGTCGTGAAGGCGCAGCTGCAGGAGCAGAAGTTCCTGAAGAAGATGCTGATGGACCGTCAAAACTCGATGTCGTCTCTCTACACCATGGGACAGGAGGTAGCCGCGGACGCGGAGCCGAAGGAACGCAAGGCCATCGAGAAGCAACTGAACAATCTGGTGGGCCGTTTCGACAATCTGACGGAGAGCGCCGCGGAGAGAATGGACGCGCTCGAGCAGACGATGGCAGTGGCGAAGCAGTTCCAGGATAAATTGGTGCCGCTCGCGATCTGGCTGGACAAGACCGAGAAGAGGGTGAGGGACATGGAGCTGGTGCCAACCGACGAGGAAAAGATACAGCAGCGTGTCAGAGAACACGACATGCTACACGAGGACATTATATCCAAGACGCCGGACTTTAGCGAGCTCACAGAGATAGCCAGCCAGCTGATGTCGCTCGTGGGCGAGGACGAGGCAGCCGCATTAGCCGACAAGCTTCAGGACGCGGCCGACAGATACGCCGCCCTGGTCGAACGGTCGGACGCTCTCGGCGGCCTGCTGGAACGTTCGCGGCAGGGTCTCCGTCACTTGGTGCTCACGTACCAAGACCTGCAGGCATGGATGGATAGCATGGAGATGCGATTGTCCAAGTACCGCATCCTGGCCGTGCACACGGAGAAGCTTTTGCAGCAGATGGAGGACCTCGCGGACCTCACCGAGGAAGTCTCCACGCGGCAAACGGAGGTCGACAGCACCGTGGACTCCGGCCTGGAACTGATGAAGCACATCTCGAGCGACGAGGCGCTCCAGCTCAAGGACAAGCTGGATTCGCTGCAACGACGGTTCAACGATCTCGTCGCGCGCGGCTCCGATCTCCTCAGGCACGCTCAGGAGTCCTTGCCCTTGGTGCAACAGTTCCACGACAATCACAACCGGCTTATGGATTGGATGCAGGGCGCGGAGTCCGCTCTGCAGTCCGCCGAGCCGCGCGAGGAGGAGATCATCCGCCTCGAGATGGAGATATCCGAGTACAGACCCGTCCTGGACAAGATCAACGCGGTGGGCCCTCAGCTATGCCAGATGTCGCCGGGAGAGGGCGCCGCGACCATCGAGGGCCTCGTGACCAGGGACAACAGGCGGTTCGACGCGATCGCCGAGCAAATCCAGAGGAAGGCGGAAAGGATTCAGCTTAGCAAGCAGCGCTCGTTGGAGGTGATCGGTGATATCGACGATCTGCTCGACTGGTTCCGCGAGGTCGACAACCAGCTGCGAGAGGCCGAGCCGCCCAGCAGCGAGCCCGAGATCATTAGGGTGCAGCTGAAGGAGCACAAGGCGCTCAACGACGACATATCCAGCCAGAAGGGTAGAGTCCGTGACGTCATCTCGACGGCGAAGAAGGTGATACGCGAGAGTGCTCAGCACGAGGACACGTCTACAATCAGAGACAAGATGGAGGACCTGCGCGAGACGATGGAGATAGTGTCCGGCCTGTCGACGGACAGGCTCGGGGCGCTGGAACAAGCGCTGCCGTTGGCCGAGCATCTTCGCGACACCCACGCCGGCCTGGTCAGCTGGCTCGAGGAGGCCGAACAGCAGGTCGCTATGCTACCCATGCCCGCTCTGCGACCCGATCTGATAGCGGTGCAGCAGGACAAGAACGAGCTACTCATACAGAGTATCAACGAGCATAAGCCTCTGGTGGAGAAGCTCAACAAGACCGGCGAGGCTCTCGTCAAGCTGTGCAACGAGGAGGAGAGTATGAAGGTGCAGGACATCCTGGAGAACGACAACGCTCGTTACGCGGCGCTGCGCGCCGAACTCAGGGCCCGGCAGCAGACGCTGGAGCAAGCGCTGCAGGAGTCGTCGCAGTTCTCGGACAAGCTCGAGGGTATGTTGCGCGCGTTGTCCTCCACCGCCGACCAGGTGAACGGCGCCGAGCCCGTCAGCGCCCATCCCGCGCGTCTGCGCGACCAAATGGAGGAGAACGCGGCGCTGGCGGGCGACCTCGCCCAGAGATCCGAGGCTTACGCGGCCGTGAGGAAAGCCGCGGACGACGTGATCAGCAAGGCCGGCAACAGGGCCGATCCGGCGGTGAAGGATATCAAGCGCAAGCTCGACAAACTCAATAAATTATGGAGCGACGTGCAGAAGGCCACGACCGACCGCGGCCACACTCTGGACGACACCCTGACCGTCGCCGAGAAATTCTGGGCCGAGCTGAACGGCGTGATGGCCACTCTGAGGGAACTGCAGGACGCACTCGCTGGACAAGCGCCGCCGGCGGCACAGCCGGCTGCCATTCAGCAGCAGCAAGTGGCGTTGCAGGAGATCAGACAAGAGATCGACCAGACTAAGCCGGACGTCGAGCAGGTACGAGCGTCCGGTCACGAGCTGATGGGCCTGTGCGGCGAGCCGGACAAGCCCGAGGTACGCAAGCACATCGAGGATCTCGACCAGGCCTGGGACAACGTGACCGCGTTGTACGCCAGGCGCGAGGAGAATCTCATCGACGCTATGGAGAAGGCGATGGAGTTCCACGAGACGTTGCAGAATCTGCTCGAGTTCCTGCGGGAGGCCGAGGACCGATTCGCGGACATGGGTCCGCTCGGCAGCGACATCGATGAGGTGAAGAAGCAGATCAAACAGTTGGCGAACTTCAAGGCCGAAGTGGACCCGCACATGGTGAAAGTCGAGGCGCTAAACAGGTGACGATTAGCTCCTAGAACGCGAGCTAGTTACACTTTTGATTAGATTGTTCTTTCTGTAACAAGCGGCGTTGCAAAGAGTTCAGTGCCGCCCAGCATTGTCCCCTTTGTGCAACTCCCAGCCTAGAGAAAATCTTGTCGTTCTTTCTACATGGTACATGTGTGGGTGTCACACTGTGATACTCTGCGAAACCTCTCTGAGAAGACGTAAATTCTAATCCCAACTTTTGTTTTTTCCGCGCCGGTTCCCGAAACAATAGGAGTCTGTCAAGGCAAGTCAATTTCTCTCTCTCTCTCTCTCTCTCTCTCTCTCTCTCTCTCTCTCTCTCTCTCTCTCTCTCTCTCTCTCTCTCTCTCTCTCTCTCTCTCTCTCTCTCTCCCTCCCTCTCCCTCTCCCTCTCCCTCTCCCTCTCCCTCTCCCTCTCCTCTCTCTCTCTCTCTCTCTCTCTCTCTCTCTCTCTCTCTCTCTCTCTCCCCCCTCTCCCTCTCTCTCCCCCCTCTCCCTCTCCCTCTCCCCCTCTCTCCCCCCTCCCCCCTCTCTCTATATCTCTATCTCTCTCTCTCTATCTCTCTCTCTCTCTATCTCTCTCTATCTCTATCTCTCTCTCTCTCTCTCTCTCTCTCTCTGTCTGTCTCTCTCTCTCTCTCTCTCTCTCTCTCTCTCTCTCTCTGTGTGTGTTGTCGCAGTAGTTAGAGCATGGCTTTATTGTTGTTCTGGACGTGTCTACTTGCCCTCGTCCCGAGGTTTAGTTTAATCATCATTTTCATCTATCTACGGTCTTAACAAGTTACGTTCACGTAAATATACTTAATCGAAGTATTCTGCTTTCCGCCCCTTTCTAAACATATTGTTATTTAAAGTAAATATAGTAAAGTATATATAGAGTCGGGGCCGCATGCAGGTGGATCGCGAGCATTCGCGTAAACGCACCACTATTTGTTCGTGATACATATATATATATTTTTTTTCTCGACGGAAATAACCCGACAGCGGCAATGATTAATATCCAGTTGACATTAATTCCTCTGGTAGCTAATCACTCGTTGAGATTTTTTCACCTGTCCTCCCTGTAGATGTGGTGTTCGATGTATGTGTGGTTCAAGCATACGTGCATAATGGCACACACAATATGTGTGTGTGTGTGTGTGTGTATATATATATATATATATATATATACACACACACACACACGCGCGCGCGCGCGCACATATATATGTACATGTGTGTACATATGTACACATACGCGTGTATATGTGTGTGTGTATGTTGTGTGTGTGTGTGTGTGTGTGTGTGCGTGCGCCACATTGAGCTGGCTATACATGATATTAGGCCTGTTCGTTTTATCTGCACTGCTGAACTGGTGCATTAAGTTAAAGTGAGACAAACGTAGGTTTTCTCACTTCTACTTGTTGCATCAGTTCAGCAGTGCAGACAAAACGAACAGGTCTATTGAGAGGACATGACGTTGTATGCGACGTTGTACTCGCGTATACGGCACGCATACAGAGACACACCGACACGATCGTCTCGTCGTGTATGTAGGCAAGCGGCCGAATTGACGGAGAGGACCTCGTCGGAGCAAGCGGCGGCCATCAAGGAACCCCTGGGTGCGGTGAACAAACGATGGGACGGATTACTGAGGGGCCTCGTGGAGAGGCAGCGGCTGCTGGAGAACGCGTTGCTGCGTCTCGGCCAATTCCAGCACGCCCTGGACGAGTTGCTGGTGTGGATCGAGAAGACCGACAAGACCCTGGATAATCTGAAACCGGTGGCCGGCGACCCGCAAGTGATCGAGGTCGAGTTAGCCAAACTGAAGGTGTTGGTGAACGACATACAGGCGCATCAGACGAGCGTCGACACTCTCAACGACGCCGGACGTCAACTGATCGAGGACGGCAAGGGCACCGCGGAAGCCTCCACCACGGCCGACAAATTGGGCACTCTGAATCGCCGTTGGCGCGATTTGCTGCAGCGCGCCGCCGATCGTCAACGAGAACTCGAGGACGCTCTCCGAGAGGCGCAGTCCTTCACTGCCGAGATACAGGACTTGCTGTCGTGGTTGGGTGACGTGGACAATACGATAGTCGCCTCCAAGCCCGTCGGTGGACTGCCCGAGACCGCGTCCGAACAACTGGAACGCTTCATGGAGGTGTATAACGAGCTGGAGCAAAATCGTCCAAAGGTCGAGACGGTGTTGCAGCAAGGCCAGGAATACCTGAAGAGAGCGGACACGAGTAGCGCCGGCGGGCTGAATCACAATCTGCGGACCTTGAAGCAGAAATGGGACAATGTGATCTCACGCGCCAGCGACAAGAAGATCAAGCTGGAGATCGCCCTGAGGGAAGCCACCGAATTCCACGACGCTTTACAGGCGTTTATGACCTGGTTGACCAACGCCGAGAAGATTCTGACGAACCTCAAGCCTGTCTCCAGGGTCATGGAGACGATACTTCAGCAGATCGAGGAGCACAAGGCGTTTCAGAAAGATGTCGGCGTTCATCGGGAGACGATGCTGAATCTCGATAAGAAGGGGACTCACCTCAAGTATTTCTCCCAGAAGCAGGACGTGATTCTCATAAGGAACTTGCTCGTGAGCGTGCAGCACAGGTGGGAGCGAGTGGTCTCCAAGTCGGCCGAGAGAACGAGGGCTTTGGATCACGGCTACAAGGAGGCCAGGGAGTTCCACGACACGTGGTCGGGCCTGATGAACTGGCTGGACGAGACCGAGAGAACGCTGGACGAGGTCGCCGCCGACGGGATCGGCGGCAACGATCCGGACAAGATCAAGTCGCGTCTCAACAAACATCGTGAGATACAGAAGGCGTTGAGCGGCAAACAGAGCACGTACGACAATACCATGAAGAACGGCAAAGCGCTCAAGGACAAGGCGCCGAAGAGCGACGAGCTCGCCTTGCGCGAGCTGTTGAACGAGTTGAAGAACAAGTGGACCACGGTCTGCGGCAAATGCGTGGACAGGCAGAGGAAGCTGGAGGAGGCGTTGCTCTTCTCCGGACAGTTCAAGGACGCGATTCAAGCGTTGCTCGAGTGGCTGAGCAAAACGGAGAGGTACTTGGCCAACACCGGACCGCTCTATGGCGATTTGGACACGGTGACCAATCTGGTGGAGCAACACAGGACCTTCGAAAAGGATCTGGAGTCTCGTGCCTCGCAAATGGAATCTGTCATCAAGACCGGTCGTGAGCTGGAGTCCAAGGCCAGCATCGAGGACGCGTCGATGATTAGATCGCAGCTGTCCGAATTGAATAGCCTCTGGGACAGAGTGACCAATCTCTCGTCGAAAAAATCCTCGTTACTGGAGGAAGCTCTCAGGGAAGCCGAGCGACTTCACAAAGCTGTGCATGTGTTGCTAGAGTGGCTGAGCGACGCGGAGATGAAGCTGCGATTTGCCGGGCCTTTGCCGGAGGACGAGCAGGAGAGCAGGAACCAGCTGATGGAGCATTCGCGATTCTTGCGCGAGTTGCAGGCTAAGGAGATCGAGAAGGACAACACGCTGGAGCTGGCGCACATCATTCTCGGGAAGGCGCATCCCGATGGTGCTGCCGTTATCAAGCACTGGATCACGATTATCCAGTCCAGATGGGAGGAAGTGGCTACGTGGGCCTATCAGAGGAACCAAAGACTAGAGAATCACATGCAGGGACTACAGGTCGGTACACCCAGTCGAGAAAAATGGAGAAAAATCTCTCTCTCTCTCTCTCTCTCTCTCTCTCTCTCTGTGTGTGTGTGTGTGTGTGTGTGTGTGTGTGTGTGTGTGTGTCTCTCTCTCTCTCTCTCTCTCTCTCTCTCTCTCCCCCCTCCTTCCCTCCCTCCCCCTCTCTCTCTCTCTCTCTCTCTCTCTCTCTGTCTGTCTCTGTCTGTCTGTTCATCAGAATTGATGTAACCGCCGTTAATCACACACAAACGTGCGCACTTGCAGGATCTTGACAACCTTCTCGAGGAACTGTTGGCTTGGCTCGAAGGTTTGGAGAACACTTTGAATGCCTTGGAAGCGGAACCCTTGCCCGACGACCGGGCTACACTCGAGATGCTCATTGCCGATCACAGAGAGTTTATGGAGAATACCAGTCGAAGACAGAACGAGGTTGATCGCGTGTGCAAGGCCCGACAGATCAAGCCGATAAAGGACGCGAGGAAAATATCGAAAGTTAAATCGCCAGCGCCCATGTACGTATAATTATCGATTGTTATTCACTATTACATGTAATTACAGTCTCACGTATAAAAACGTCTTACGATACGTCGATGAAATCGACGTGGATGATGTACAACATTGTACAATATGTTGCGTGAATCGAGTGAAATTTCATTTTTACAAAGTACAAGTTTGCACAAGGTAATATTCGTAATATCCGCAATATCACGCGACATATTGTGCATAAAATTAGATTTGTTCTGTGTTCAGTCAGTGATTTTAATTTAATTGTGCTGCTTGCTAGTCACTTAGTCACTTCATTTGCTTCACCCTTGTGTGTCGTCGTGCACTCGATTGTTCTGGTTTGATTAGCGAATCTTATCACGCATATTGCAGTGGCGATCACATTTTCAGATTCTTCAGTATCTCAAAGAATCGCGATCGAATTTTTCCATCGTCCATCGACAAAGTAGTCTTTATTTATATGTTGCGTCTCGTATTATTGAATTTCATGTGTGCGCAAGCGCGCGCACCTTTAATTGTTGCATGATGTGTTGCTTTTGCAATGAAATTCCAGTAAGGATCATCATCAGGATAGCGAGCACGAGCAGCCTCAACCTCGTAAACAAAGGTACGTTGTCAATTATTAACCCGCGTAAATCTTATTGTCGCACAACTTAACTTTGCTGTTCCGTCCGAGACAATTTTTGATTTGTAAAATATCAAAATATAAAGGATGCTCGGCATCTTGATGCCGTGAACGGCTACCATGATACGATACTAATCGTGTCTGCATTTTGCGTCTGCGAATTCGAATATATGAATAGGGGCCGAATAGCGGAGTTAATAATCGAGTAATCTGTTCGTGAGCGAAGTATTTACGATTTATAGTAGTAGTAGTAATAGTAGTAGTAGTAGTAGTAGTAGTAGTATTAGTAGTAGTAGTGGTAGTAGTAGTAGTAGTAGGAGTAGGAGTATAGGAGGTCTCTCCTTCCTGTATGAAGTCGACATATTCGCGACCCGACGCGCGACACTCTCAACGTATCTCCTCAGTTTCGTACGTATAAAAATTTCGCACAGTATCCAACAATGAAAATCTGCAACTTGAGATGGCAACGACAACAACAACGTCAAGTGTTTTAACTCACCCTCGCTTTTCACTTGTGACATCGCCATGTCCGCTCGTGACCACAATATGTTTCGCAGCTTGTGCACTGTGTCGAGAGAGACACAGAGCCGCAGTTTCTAACTTCATACGTGTAAACTGCGTTTGAGCATCGTTACGCGCACTTTTGTTGGTTGGGCAATGTGAAGGGCGCAACTGTGATGCGATTTCCGCGAACGTACGTGTCGATCGCCTCGCGCGCGCGTGAAAAGTATCCACTCGAAGAAGAGAAATTTCTCTTGCCAGTTCCGCATCTTGCCGTTTACCGAATCTCTGATATGATACAATCACACACGTGAGACAATACGTGTAACGTAATACCAGCGGACTGCTCCGCTGTCGAGACGCGGTACGCGGTTGACGGGGCATTCGATAGACGCGTTATCCAGTAGAGAGTGTTTGAGTGACGTTTGACGCATGTTCCTGTTTAGCCGAGGCAGCCCAGGTCGTGACAGAACTCCAGATCTCTCATTGCCGCACATCGGTCCACGCTTCCCACCCAAAGGAAGGTTCGTTTCGTTTACGCCATATTCTTGTCTAGGGGGTTCATCTCACGATCTCCGATCCATACCAGACACGGTTATACCGTTTCGCCGACTCAGCAATACCACAATATAGCAATACCTAACCATGCTCACTCGGTGACTCGGTAAAGGGGATGTCCTTGTCCACTTTTGGGCGGGATGAAATGTGGTTGGGTTTGACGATCGACTCTGTTAATACTCGCTCACGAGTTTGTGTTTGCCTTTGTATCAAATGTATGAAGTTCTGGGTTTTCCCGACGATATTCATATATAACATTTAGACTTTTACTCAATTGTTCCCTTTTTCGTTTTCGTCTCTTTTAGCTCTCGTGCGTGAGCGCGCAGCAGCGTGCATCATCGCGATCACCATTATCACCATTATGCATTCATGCTTAGATTTGTATTAGTAACCATTTATCCTGAGCGCGACATGATATTTTACA